TGTGTAAAATGTGTCAGGTTGAAAGTTTTGCTAAAGTAAAGATCCGATTCTGAGCCGACCTCGACTGGAATGAAAAGAGTCTCATCCACAACGTAGCGCCTAGATTGGAGTTTTGTGTGAGATATAAATGGTTTTCCACGTCCAAAGGTTTCTCTTTTGTTAGACCTTGCAAAGCAGTCTGGATCCTTGCCTGGTACAATCTCTCTGATAACATTTTCCCTTTCATCTGGATCTTCTTGTTGATCAATAAGAGTAAACTTCACTATCCTCTTGAAAGGCCAGGGTAATATGGCGTCATATTTACCTCTCATTACACGAATGAACAAGGAGAGGAATTTCCCCTTATGCTCTCCATAGCCATCAAGATATATTACCGCTTTCAGTTTCTATCCGTGATTCTCTGTGTAGAATGGAGCACTATCCACAACTGTCTTCTCACCGGCCTTGTTCCCCTCATAAGTTTACTGAACTCGCCAATCTTCCAAACGAACAGAGAGGGAAATGAGGAGATTCACTTTTCACCATCACCATTTTCTCTTCAAACTTTCTTTGCAGTGCCTCGAGTTCCTTCTTTAAAACGTCCGTCTTCGTTGTGTCAAGCAATTTAATTTTTGTGTTACTTAATGCAGTTGCTGTTTCATCCAACTTAGAGTCTCAACTTCAATGCTGTATCAGTAAATTTAGATTATGTTTGATCCAACTTCGACTGCGTTTTACCTTAACTTTCTTTTGCCTCATTTAACGTAACAAAAGTCGGTCAAGATGGATTCTTACAGCAGATTGGAGGTGAGATTCCAGTGCTTGCCGCTCAACCTGTAAAAAGAAGTAAAATGCATCAGTTTGAAAGTTTTGCAAAACGAAGGTTCCTAGGTGAGTCGACCTCAACTTGAATGAAAAGAGTGTCATCCACAACGTAGTGCCTAGATTCGAGTTGTGTTTGTGATATAAATAATCGTTTCCCATGTCCTAAGTTCTCTTCGTTTTTAGGCCTGGCATAGCACTTTCGGTCATTGTCTGGTATGAACACTGCGATAATGTTATCCCTTTCATCCAGATCTTCCTGTTGATTCATAATAGTAAACTTTATTTTCCCGTTGAAAGGCCAGGGTAATATGACGTCATATTGACCTTTCATTACACAAATGTCCCCGGATAGGACATACTCTGCATGACGGTCGAAATAAGCATATATTATCACTTTCAGCTTTTATCCATGGTTCTCTGTGTAGAATGAAACACTGTATACAACCATCTCCTCATTAGCCTTGGCCTCCCTCATAAGTTTACTGAACTCGTCAATCTTCCAAATGTATAGAGAAGAAAAACCAGGAGATTCACTTTTCTCTATCACTATTTGCTCTTTCATTGCATTTTTTTGATCTTTGATTGCTTTCTCTTTAAACTGTCTTTGCAGTGTCTCGAATTCATGTCTTTTTCTTTGTTTCAAGCAATTGGCTATTTGTGTTACTAAATTTAGTTTCAGTTTCATTCAACTTCGACTGCGTTATACCTAAATTTTCATTTGCCTCATTTAACTTAACAACAGTTAAGTCAAGATGGATTCTTACAGCAGACTGGAGGTGAGATTCCACTGCTTGGCGCTCAACCTGTAAAAGCAAGGTAGAATATTTTAATCAATTCAATCGATGGAAATTTATCCTGACGTCAAAACTTCAACTAATGGTATTTACTTCAGATTTACATTGGCCAACCAAAATTTACACGTATCCTCTACATCTATGAACAGTTCCTTTCCCCATGATTTATTAATACGACAAAACTGACCTCCCTCCACAAATACATCCGGGGGTATCAAGAAACAATATTCATGACCGTTCAGTCACATAGCATTATTTTTTTCCTATTTGCAATAAATAGCTGAAGTCAGGGAAAAGCATTGCAATCCTGCAGTTGATAAGAAACGCCATTTCATAAATTACTCCAAAACAAGTGGTTGCGGTCACCCTTCACCGAGTCCAAACGTCGGGCCTTTTTGTATTGTCTTCCACCTGCATTGAATGGTCACTTAAAGCGGGACCATTCAAATAAACTAAGCCTATCTAAAAAGTACAATTAGGTATCGTATTCCGCACCTTGCTCGCTTTGCAAATTTAGCGGATCATTTGACCATAGTAAGTCGCTGCTTCAAACAATAAAATGCTTTCTCTTTTAAAAAAGATAATTTCCTCTAAGTTTCCATGATGTGCAGATCACACCTATGGAAATACTTCTGCAAGGGTTTTTCTTTAGTTAAGAGTCGGCGAGACGCCATTGTAACAGTCAATATTCTATAGACAAAGTACATAAGCGCATATGTAAACTATATTTTTCTATTCTTTGTATTTTGGAAAGGGACAAATGTCAATTGGGGCTCGCCCTGTATTTTTCTCCTGCCATTATTATTTTGGTTATTTATTGCGTGTCTCTGTTCATGTCTTTACTTGTAAATTGTATTTTTCAGTGGAAAATCTCAATAAACTAAACTAAACTAAACTAAGTAACATCATTTTGAGATGTTTACGTCACAGCAGAAATTTAAAGTGGCAATGAGCCTCTGAACTTGGATAATGACTGATTGAAAGAATGGGAATGGGCTTCTTGTATATTAAATATATTTTCTGTTTACTTCTTTTTTAGGATTCCAAGGAGAAAAACGTTGACGAGTCTCCCTGACAATCGAATCGAAGAAGAAGAACCTTGAAGTCTTTTCCTTATAATCGTAGCTTAAATGCGACTTGTATTTTCACTCACGTAAAGGCTGCTGCATATCTAATTAGTTGTCTCTAGGGAAATTCTCAAGACCTTTTATATGCAATTGCATACAAAATCTTTCTCTTCTCGCAAGTCGACTGACTCAGCAACGTCTGAAAATTTTCCCTAAACTCCTTCCCTATAGCGGAGCCGGCCAATTTCGCTTTCAACTCACCCTACGTTTTATGCAAAAACTTCTTTCGCCCATAACTTATTCATCACAAGGCATAAGGGGCTTCAGTATGGGAATGGGAATTAATTCATTTGTGTCCTTGGTGTTACCTTCGGGTCGATCACTTACACGGTGCTACTTCCATTGAACCGCACTGAGCAGTGAGAACAGCAATGAGAACTTCATACAAAAATCGTACGCTGTCGACAGTGTAGAAAACATCCACGACTAAGAAACATTGCCATTGAAATAAATCACTCCACTTCGTGGATAAACCTTTACGGACTTGAGCGTATGCGACTGCCAACACTTTATATAATGGTCGGCAGATTCAGAAACAGTTTAAAGGAAGCGAAGGAAGGACGGAAGGAAGGAGCAAATGTTCCATCCATACCTGTATCTCGGACATATATATATACTCTTCGAGTAAAAAATGGGAAGATTCGCGGTTGAAAAGTTATAATCGGAGTTATCAAAAGTGGCTAAGATGGGATTCAGAATTGGTCACAGAATATGCTAAAATGCATGAGGTAGGGGTTCTGAAAGGCCAACGGCATATAAGGTTTATGACTTCACTTCCTCCTGATGAGCTTTCTGAACAGGGGGGGAGGGAACCGACTATGAAAGATTGGCTGGAGAACTACCGTCCTGCGCGTGCGTCAGAGAACCGTGAGGAGCGAGACTACTAAAGATAACTGAGGCAGGAACTCTTCCTTCGGCAGTGTATTCAAATGCAAATCGTAATGGCACTGCAAGGGTCTTTTTTCCAGCTGACCAAGTTGGACCAAGTTGAACAAACGCCCACTGCCTCCTCTGAGATGCGCTCTGTTGTTTCCGATGTGTCGGTGTTGAGTTTCGTAAGCGATGCCACAGTTCCACAACTAGCCCTCGCGTCAACTGCAGATTTCAACTAGGTGGAGGAATACGAGAGCGATTCGGATGACAGTGACAATGATGTCGATATTGAGTGAGAAGAACTGGTTACTATTGGTAAGCCATAAAATGACAAGGTCTGGAGGACAAGTCAAGGTCTGGACAAGGTTTGATGTTTAGAAGTGCGCAAAATCTTATTTTGGTATTCGTTATGTTTTTCTACTGCAGTAAAAGCATAAGAGTTATATAGTTCACTGAGAATGTACACACACAAAAATATTTTTTCATCTCAAATTTGCCTAATGACTTTCAGCATGTCTTACAACAATGGAATTTAATATTTAACTTCTTAGAACAATAGTAATTAATTTTTAACAACTCCTGTTAACCATAATGGAAAAAAAACTGTTAGCTGTAAAAAAGCCAAAATATTAAACGTTAACCGTAAAAGCCACTACCCCACTGAGACCCTCTTAGTGCGCTCTGTGATTGGTCCAGAAAACGTGCGCCACCTCCTCCACAAATCAGATCACAGAAAAGGAAAAAAAAAAACCAACTGCCTCCTGCGCCTTGGTCACTCGCTGTTATGTCGCGCCTCTGATAACTTGCCTTTTATTGATTTAGTGCTAGTCGTGCTGTCCAAAGTTCGATATTGATCAGGCGTTCAGAAGTAACTATGACACGGATTGCTGAATGTAAACAGCAATTCTTACTTTTTGCTTTGGAATATCTTTTTTTTTAAGTTTACAGGATCAAAATGGTGGAGGAAGATGCGGCCTCGTAACAATTCTCTCGGCACCACTTCTATTCGAAATCAAAATGACAGCTAGATGCTTTTATTTCCTAGGTGTGTCTCTGTCAGTTAACCCGGTGAAAACTGTCTTCAATAAGAGTCCTAAATCCATATATATATACCACTGATTTTAGGACAGCATAATTCAAAAGTACCCGCAGCTGAGAAGCGGAAAACTGCGAACCTAAAAAGTGATCTAAAAGTTCCTGAAATGTTAACAGTTCCTGCCAGGCAAAGCAAAAGGTTTGACGTCCAAGAACTAACCTGTGACAAGGTTGAACGAATTGGAATAAAGATGACGTGCGCTAACTACACTGATAGTGTGACACACTCTAAGTAAAGTTGTGATGACAACGATAATAACGTAACTACCTCGATTAGGATTAGGATGTTGTTAACTTTTTTTCTTCCTTCTTTCAAGTGATTTTTCCATTTAAACGCACGCAGGGGCCGATTGCTCTGAAAAGGGTCTGCGCCAATCCGGGATTAAAAATTATGACCTTGGTCCAGATTGCTGTTGTGTAAAATGTATCAGTTTGAAGGTTTTCAGTGCTAAACTAAGGTTCCTATGGTGAGCCGACCTCAACTTGAATGAAAAAAGTGTCATCCACAACGTAGCGCCTAGATTCGAGTTGTGTGTGTGATATAAATAATAGTTTTCCATGTCCTATGTTCTGTTCGTTTTTAGGCCTTGCATAGCACTTTGGATCATTGTGTGGTGTGACCACTCGGAAAACGTTCTCCCTTTGATCCAGATCTTCCTGTTGATCTATAAGAGTAAACTTTATTTTCCTGTTGAAAGGCCAGGGTAATATGGCGTCATATTGACCTCTCATTACACAAATGAACACGGATAGGATATCCTTTCCATCAGGGTTGACGGCATTTGGATATATCACCACTTTCAGCTTATATCCATGGTTCTCTGTGTAGAATGAAGCACTAAGCTAGACTGTCTTGTCACCGGCCTTGGCCTCCCTCATAAGTTTACTGAACTCGTCAATCTTCCAAATGTATAGAGAAGAAAAACCAGGAGATTCACTTTTCCCCATCACTATTTGCTCTTTCATTGCATTTTCTTGATCTTTGATTGCTTTCTCTTTAAACTGTCTTTGCAGTGTCTCGACTTCCTTCTTTAAATTATCTGTCTTTTTCTTTGTGTCAAGCAATTGACTATTTGTGTTACTAAATTTAGTTTCAGTTTCATCCAACTTCGACTGCGTTATACCTAAATTTTCATTTGCCTCATTTAACTTAACAACAGTTAAGTCAAGATGGATTCTTACAGCAGACTGGAGGTGAGATTCCACTGCTTGGCGCTCAACCTGTAAAAGCAAGGTAGAATATTTTAATCAATTCAATCAATGGAAATTTATCCTGACGTCAAAACTTCAACTAATGCTATTTACCTCAGATTTACATTGGCCAACCAAAATTTACACGTATCCTCTACATCTATGAACAGTTCCTTTCCCCATGATTTATTATTACGACAAAACTGACCTCCCTCCACAAATACATCCGGGGGTATCAAGAAACAATATTCATGACCGTTCAGTCACGGACCATGGCCGGCCCTCTGACATTTGATGTAACAGTAACATCATTTTGAGATGTTTATGTCACGGGAGAAATTAAAAGTGGCAATGAGCCTCTGAACTTGGATAATGACTGATTGAAAGAATGGGAATGGGCTTCTTGTATATTGCATATGTTTTCTGTTTACTTTTTTTTCAGGATTCCAAGGGGAAGAACGTTGACGACTTTCCCTTACAATCGAATCGAGAAGGAAGAACCTTGAAGTCTTTTCCTTTTAATCGTAGCTTAAATGCGACTCGTATTCTCACTCGCTAAAGGCTAGTCTCCCTCGAAGCTGTTTTTAGTCCCGTAACGCAACGCTCTTCCCCACCAACGTTACGTGACGAGACTAAAAACGGCTGCAAGGGAGACTAGGTAAAAGCTGCCGCATATCTAATTAGTTAATCGGATAATCCTGTACTCCCGTGGCGTGTATTCTATTGTCTCTAGGGAAATCTTCAAGACCTTTTATACGCCGTTGCATACAAAATCTTTCTCTTCTCGCGAGTCGACTGACTCAGCAACGTCTGAAAACTTTCTCTAAACTCCTTCCCTCCAGCGGAGGCGGCCAATTTCGCTTTCAGCTCACCCTAGTTTTATGCAAAAGTCCTTTCGCCCATAACTTATCCATCATAAGGCAGAGGGGGTTACAGCAAGGAAGAAGTGTGGCCGAGTGGCTAGAGTGTCAGACTCGTAATCCGCCGCTCCCGGGTTCGAGTCCCACCCTCACCACTGGATTTGTTTCACGGTAGCCCCGAGTTCACATCCTTGGCCACGCTTGTAAATAGCCAACTGGTTTGCCTCCGGCCGGTTGGGGTTCTTAATGATGTTATGTTCAATTTAGACCATTTGTTTGATTTGTTTGCAAGGACCACAATGGAAACTACTGGTTCACCAGTAATTGTGTAATCCTATTAAAAGACTTTTTTTTTTTATTTTTTTTAATGTGAATTAATTCACTTGTGTCCTGGTGTTACCTTCGGGTAAATCACTGACAGGGCGCTACTTCCATCGAACAGCAATGAGCTGTGAGAACAGCAATGAGAACTTCATGCAAAAAATCATACGCTGTCGACAGTATAGAAAAGATCTACGACTGAGAAACATTGCCACTGAAATAAACACTTCGTGGATAAATCTTTTCGGACTTGAACGTATGCGACTGCCAACACTTTATATAAAGGTCAGCGGATTCAGAAAGAGTTTAAAGGAAGCAAAGGGAGGACGGAAGGAAGGAGCAAATGTTCCATCCATACTTATTTTTCGGAGATATATATACTCTCCGGGTAAAAAATGGCAAGATTCGCAGTTGAAAAGTTGTTACTGGAGTTATCAAAAGTGGCTAAGATGGGATTTAGAATTGGTCACAGAATATACTAAAATGAGGTAGGGGGACTGAAAGGCAAGCGGCGTATACCCAGTAAGAATTGACCGAAAAACCATCCCTCAACCCCAGGAGAATGAAGTCATAAATAGGACAACCTTTAAACGCCCGGCAAAATGTCCACGATATTAACCATCAACAGGAGCACATCAACTTTCACCGTTAACTGTCGAAAAAACTAGCCAATACAAGCCGTCAAGTTTCTCTGACATTTCTTACTGTAGACTAGAAGGTCGTTGGCGTCTGATCGATTTTCATAACATTTCACATCAACTGGTCAAGAACTGGTTCTTCTGTGAAGAACTGAAAAACTAACCTTTGTTTCGCATCCCAACTGAACATAGGGACAGCAGACTATGGCGAGTAAACATTCCTCTTTGATGTGACTCGGGATCTACATGTAAGAATAAAATTAATAACTAAATTTGAAAGAAAGATAAGAAGCAATCAATCCATAGTTAAGAAAAAAAAATAGGTGCGAAACATAGTATTCGTTTTTAGACATCTACACATTTTACATGGATTCAGTTAAGGTTGCGCCACGGACGTCTTTATCTAAATCATTTCCTCAAGAGAGAAAAGATAAATATAATTTGGAAGCCAATACATTTTTGAAGCAAGAAAGCGCCTAGCGTACTCGAAGCAGATACTTTTCATTCTCGCTTGACAGTTTTTCATTCCCTTAATTCTGGAAATAAAACGGATTTCATACCATTTCCCTGGAAATTTTAAGACCACAACTGTTTGGACAAGTTATTGGGAGCTTAAGACACCTTCGAATGTGATCCTAAATGAATAAATCAAGTAAGAACAGTTTCTAACATTTTTAGCAGTGGAAAGTCATTTTGTAACGAAAATTTTACTCATCATGATGCTATTGATACTGTGAATGTATGTCTGTATGTATTTGCGATATTTAGACAGGCTGGCTCAGGTCAGCTTAAAGGTGTTCTATATGGGGGCCTGCCGGTATAAACAGCAACAAGGCCACACTACAATACCGGAAGCTAAGTTCTCTACTCTTTGCGAGAAGTACGTGGATTCTTCAACGTTCCCTGCAAACCAATACAGAGAAGGTGCAGGCGACAGGGCCTACGGTATATTGTCCTTATCCGAGAAGACTAGAATGTCTAATCATTAGCGGATGTCATGGCAAAGGAAGCACATGTTGCGCAGTTATTTTAAGGACCCTGAGTGTTGGTGAGGTCTGGGGCTTGAGCCCTCGACCTCCCGCACGGCAGTCCGGCGCCATCATTGGGCAGAACGCCAATTGTTCTCTCGACTAAACTTGCAGTGGCGAAAATGTTGTAGATCTGTAATATAAGTGGAGAAGCGTAAACAGGGAGGCTCTCATTGGTCGAAGATCACGCGCGCTTTCCTCCGAAGGGAATACTGCCTTAACTCATTAACTTGTCAAGGCGAAGCTCTGAAACAAAGGCCTCGTAACTTATTGTTTCATGAATTGTTTCTGATATCACACTTAAAGTGCGCGTATTTCAAGCTGGCTATTTCAAGCGTTGTATTTTTAAAAGTCAATCGCTAACTGAGTGGAAATGTTTCTCAAAGAAGTTTCCAATCTCAGTACGACTCACACCCTACTACGCCGATACCCCTATTGATAAGAAATCTTCAGCGTTTATTCAAGGTGACTAAATGAAGTGTTAAATCCTATTGCTAGTTTTGTTTTTGTTTTGTTTTTGTTCTGTGTGTGTGTGTGTCTTTTTAATCGAAGAAGTAATCCTTTATTACCAAGGTTGATAATTTCTTTGCCAGATGTTAACAGCTATAAACAAAGAATGGGAATAAGAATGCTAAGAACAAAAAGTAAAGAAATCAAATTCCACAATTCACTTTAATCATGTCTTTACCTGCATTTGACACTCTGGGTGTGGCTCACTACAGTAATTGCATTTGAG